GAAGGTAATTATAGTGGCCATAGGCCAATCAACTGTCAGAAATCATGAGGTTGTCAAGGGGCTAGAAACAGCAATCGAAAAAGGATGGAGGAGGGCAATTAGCTGTCAGTGGGGTCGGGAAGCAATTATAGTGATGTACGCTAATTAGCTGTCACTGGAGCTGGGGGCCCTGAACAGCAATTAGTGTGCCGCCTTGTCCCCCGGTAGAGGGTCCCGGTAATCTTGCCTCCTATTCCAGCCGGTTCGTTGTGGGGTCCTCTTCGCTTGCCATTCTTACGTTTGGTTTGGCCTCGTTCCGTCTTTTTCCCACAACGGCGAAAGATTTTGTAGGCTGCTGGTAGGTGTAGATGCCTGTTGACCGAGTTGGCCTCTGATTACCGTACCTCGAGCGTCAGCCTTTCGGCTTTTGAGGTTCCTCGGCCTAAGATAGCCGCTCCTTGAAGATCGAAGTCATGGCCAGTCTCTGTGGTGTGTGCTGCCAGTTGCGAGTTTGGGTCCAGTCTCCGGGCCGCTAGTTTGTGTTCGTGTAGGCGGGTCTGCAATTTGCGGCCTGTTTCTCCAGCGTAATCCCTCGTTGCAAAGTATTTTGTAGACGACTGCAGAGGTTTCTGTAGGAGGCGGCCTGTCTTTAGGTTGCATCACCTGGCGGCGTATTGTCACCTGAGGTCGATGGACTATGCCTATGCCAGCAGGTTGTAACAGTCGTGAGACTGCTTTGGAGACCCGTTTTATGTAGGGAATGGCCCTCTAGACTTCGGTTTGCTTTTGTTGGTTGGTTTATTGAGCAAAAGTAAACGTGCTCATGACCACACGAATGTGTTTCGCGTAGGTTTTAGAGTTTAGGAATTTAAGCTTTTCGATCTCGCGAAAAATTAAGACACTACAGTAGTGCGTCCACCATGAAGCATAATGTGGAATGCATCGCTTTCAACCGTACCCAATTTAAAATCCTAGAAAAATTTGCCTATTTCTACAGTGCAATCTCACCTACTACAAAATCTATGATAAAGGTGCATACATGATCTTAAAAACCAATTAGGCCTTCAATCGGCTGCAAACCTTTGTGTGAAATATTAATTGTGACAATAATCCGAACACCCTCCCGCCGCTGTCAAATTCGTTGAAAGAAAACTTCTCTACCATTCCTGCTACAACCCCCCGAGACAATAGGAATGATGTTTATCACCTATCGTACTACTGCTACACATGGGGAGTCAACATAAAGTCCATTCCACCACTGCCCTCACCACCACCAACCTGAGATTGGTCATCTCAGTCCCACAGTTTTATTGTGCATATATATGCGAAAATATTCGAGGTCCATTTATAATATTGCTTTCATCATCCCCGGAAATTGCCCCGTCATATTCTTCCTCTTCCGGGGATGATGAAAGCAGTATTATAACTGGACCTCGAATATTTTCGCATATTATTTTTTGCTATAGGCACACGGCCCTCCACGCAGCACGCAGATGGGTGACCTTTGTTAAACGAGAGCCGTCCACCTACGCTCAGTTGCAATTCATGCACCGGTGTCTTGATGAGAACGTCCTACCAAGAAGCCTCAGACATACAACGTCCCTGAAAACTGACCTATGCCATCGGACGATGGCAGATTTCAAGAGAAAAATGGTCAGGATAATAAAAAGAGATTGGCACGACCGCATTCAAAGGTACCGACGAATGATTGAACAATACTCCTCAAGTTGCCGGTCGATCCTTACGGCACACGAGCCAGGAACCCTCGAGGCTACGACCCTAGACACGGCACGACGTCACCGCAAGTTGCGTGATGACCAGTTGTCTGTTAAGTTCGAGAAAATTAGCCCGCCAAAGCAACCATCTCCTGATGGAGTTCTGGTTCACAACTTGTCCTCCCCTCCTGTATCACCACAACAACTAGCAGTTATATCCTATGACCCAAAATTCAGCATGAGAGATGCTCGCCCAGAAGACTTTATCGCAGCTTTAGAATCGGCGCTCCAGAAATGCGAAGCAGGTGAGGAGTGTAAAAACGCTATGCGGCTATGAGTTACGACCTTAATCCTTCAACACAAACACCAAGTAACGATATCTAAAGCAGAAGAACGAGAACTTCTGAAAATACGAAAAATTGAGAATATTGTCACCCTGCCCATTGACAAAGGACGCTCGACGGTCATCATGGATAAGGTGGAGTATGGGGCAAAATTGAACGACCTCTTGATGGACAAGGAGTCCCACGCACCGTTGACTGCCAGCGATTTCAAGAAGCTCGTGAACAACATTAACAAAGCGGTCGACAAACTGAAGAAGTCGGGGACTCTGACGAGAAGAGAAGCGCTGGCTGCAAAGGCCACCGACGCTGCAATGGCACATTTCTACGGCCTAACAAAGGTGCGAAAACCAGGAGTGCCCTTACGTCCCATCGTATCCTTACGAGGCATCCTAAAAGTGGCTGTTTCAACGATTGTGCTTCCTCACCAAAGATTCAAAATTCACAATGAAGTCTGCTAAATAATTTTTGACCCGCATTCAAACCCTGAAAGGGAAGGCAGACAAAGTGATGGTGTCGTTTGACGTGATCACGTTGTTCACATCTATTCCATCCACTCTGGCTATCGAACCTATTAATGGTCTTCTCCAAGAGAACTACGACGAAACCGACCAAAAGCTCAAGCGAGTGCACATCATCTAGCTCATGAAACTATATCTAAAAATTTTCCTCATGTTCAATGGCCAAGCTTACGAAAAAAAGAAGGGGATACCAATGGGCTTGCCTCTGTCTGGCCTTATTGCCGAAGCAGTTTTGCAGAGGCTCGAGCCGCCGCTCTTCAGTTCGTCTCCCCCAAATTTCTGGGTCAGAAACGTCGTAGACACTTTCGTCATCATCAAAAGGAGCAAAGTGCACACCTTCAAGGCACTGCTGAACTCCATCTTTCATGACATCCAATTCACTATGGAAGAAGAGGTCAACAACCAATTACCCTTCCTCGATGTACAAGTAACGAAACTGGCAGACGGAAGGAAAAGGACCACAGCCTACCGCAAGGCAACGAACACTATGCGCATATTCCACTTCAGAAGCAACCACCCCGTTAGTCACAAACACAGTTGTGTTAGGACCCTCTTCCAGCGCGTTCAGAAACACTGCAGTGACGACAGTGATGAGAAAGAGAAGAGTAAATAATTGCATACCCTATTTCAAGCCAACGGTTATCCAAAGTCCTTCATAGTTGCGCGCGCTTCAAATTGCGGTTCAAACTTCTCGTCCTCCGTGGGAAATACTATT